ATGAAATATCAGAGAAGTCAAGATTTTGGAATGAAGATTGATTTGACAGTTTTTTACAGTCGCATGATTCCAAATGAATTTACTGAGTGGCTTTAAGCAATAGAATGAATCTATGAGTATAAGATTGTTCTCTTGGATAGAAAGGTCAAGATAGCCTCCATTAAGTTAAAGAAGAGTGAATCTTTGTGGTTGAAGAATTTGAAATATCTTCGACAGCAGAAAGGGAAAAGTAAAATCACGACTTGCAATATAAATACTTTCTTCCACATTATTAACATGATATATTCATAAAACACTAGTTTTGATTGAGAGATTCTTCTGTGGAGCACATAATTGAATTTCATTAACTCATGTTCAAATGTGAGTTGGTGGAACTAGATAAGCGGATGATAGTATGATATTGTGGAGGATTGAGGTCATTTATTAGAAGTGTGGTGCAATAATGGCCGTGTTGGTCCTCATTCGATGTACATATCTTAGCTTTGAAAGTGAAAAAATAACGTCACCAGGTGAGATTCACATAGAGTTCAACATCAGGATCAAACAAAATGAGCGCACCCAATAGAGCATCCCAACCAACCCCACCCAAGGAAAAATAAGTCAGAATTGAGAAAAAATGAAGCCCTCTAACACTCCCAAATCCGTTCCAGCGAAAAAGTACTTAGTGTGCTATGAATTTGGCACATTGCATCTGATTTCCTATATAGGAGGGTGAACTCCTTCACTGAATAGGGAGTAGTTGAAGAAGTACATAATGACACAGGAGACACTAAAGAAGGTGAGGACACAAAGGAGTACCAGCTTCTAGCTGATAAGGGTGAGATGCTAGTGATTCAATCTAACAGCCTTTGTTGAAGGAGTTTCCGAATATCCTGGCTGACCGTTTTTTTTATCGTAGATGGTTGCCAATGGAGGTAGTTTAACATGTCATAGATTTCATTCCAGAGCTGAGTCTTCCAGTTAAACTTATTTATCTGATCAGCCAGCCAAGTCTGATGAGTGAGAGAAGCATGTTACAGATCTTAAGCTCAAGATTTGGTTTGTGAGAATACCCTTTTATGTGCAGTTATTGCTCTGGTTGTGCCAATAAACGATGACTACTTATTCTATCAGGATAGTTTTTTGAATAATGTACATTTCAAAGAGTTGCATGAAATTGACATGAGCATAGATTTTGTAGTGGAGTTATCTTAGAAACAACAAGGCAATGATTGTTATGATTGTACTAAATCAATTCCAGAAACCTCTAGAGAAAAAGGTGAAACCTCTCCTATTCGTGGAGAATGATGCGAGAACGTTTTGCTTGAGATCCATGGTCTCATGCTAGTAAGACACTACGTTCTTACGGGTTTCGCGAATGTCGCAATCCCGATCGCTAGATTTTCATAATTCTAGGATATTGCAAGCTCAATCAATCTCGCTTGATTCCTTCTGTCTCAGAAATGTTAATATCGTGAACACGATATAGGCGAACGAGCAATTATCATCCCGTTATTAAATTTCATGTGAATGTTTGTCTTCTCTAGATTATTTCCTCTTTCTTTTCTTCTTATTACGGTTCTTTCTAGCAACAGACTATTTATATTTTTATTTTTTTCTATTCGGGGGACTTTTGCTATTGTGTTTTCAATATGTTCTGTGTTGTATGCTTTTTGGAGTGCTGTATCATTTCTTTTTGTAAGTGGTGTGTATCTTGCTCAGGAACATGTGGTGGAACTTTCCCGACATCAGTATCTCATTGTTTATAGTTTTCTTTGTAGTTTCTAGTAGGGGCGGTAGTCGAATGATGTTTATCCTCGTTTAAACGCCATCGAACTCACACATTCTCTTGCCATTGCCATTCCACAACCATGTCCCTGCAAAATTTGATTCTAGGAGCCCTATTTGTCTTTCCTACGTCTAAACTTAAAAATTGTATAACCTAAACATTCGACCAACTAAATATCCTAATAGTTCTTATCATATCCTACTTCAACTCTAAATATTTAAAAGCTAAACCCTTACCTTCACCAAAAATTTACCTCGACACCTATCACCAAAATCCTAAACTCTTGGCCAACCATTAATCTACAATTCTACCTTCGCAGAAACTGTGATCAGTAGAAAAGGACTAAATGCCATGCAATGCAGTGCCTAAGTGTTTACGATGGAAGACATGCAAAAGTAAATCCTCCAAGTGCAACAAAGCTTTGTCGCCTTTGAGAGGAGTCAACTTGGAGATGTTCCCAATCGGTTTAATGGTGATTTGCTAGAACAACAACAACAACAACAAGCTTTTATCTCACTAAGTGTAGTAGTCTACATGAATCTTTTTTTTCCATTGTGTCCTATTGAGTGTCTTATTTTTATTTAATTCTAATAGATTAAGGTATTTTTTTATACAATTTACCCGAGTCATTTTAGGTCTACCTCTGCCTTTCTTAACATAAGTTGGATGTAAAACATCTACTCTCCTAACCTGATCGTCAGATGGTCGACGATTAATGTGACCAAACCATCTAAGACGACCCTATTCTTGTCAGTCACTGGAGTTACACCAATCCTTTCACATATAGATTTGTTTTGCATTTTACCTCTAAGTGTCAAGCCACTCATCCACCCAAGCATTTTTTTCTAAGCAAATCTTAACTTTGTTTTATGTTTCTCTTTTAAAGACCAACATTCTGTGCCACAAAGTATTTCAGGTCTCACCACCATCTTATAAAATTTTCTTTTTAGTATAAACGATGTTTTTCTATCACACAATAGGCCTGATGCATTCTTTCATTTCAACCAATTTGAATTCTACTAATAGCATCCCCATCTATATCACCATTACTTTGAACAATAGGCCTCTAAAATGTTCACTTTTTAATAATTTGATCACCCATAGTTATAACTCTGCCACCAGAGCTACTACTACTAAAATTACACTAAGAAGTTTTCAGTGATGAATAACTAATATTTAGACGATTTGGGATAGAGTACCAGAGAAATCAGGATTTTGGATTGAAGATTGACATATCGGATTTTGAAATGACATGGATCTAGACAAGTTCATTGAGGTGCTCCATATAGTAGAATGAGTCTTTGAGTACAAGGATGTTGCATTTGACAGAAGGGTGAAGTTTGTCGTCATTATGTTAAAGTAGAGTGCATATAATATTAAAATATTTGAAGCTCTTATGCCATCATGATGGAAAAAATAAAATTATCAACTATTTTAAGATTTAAAGAGAGATGCAACGAAAATATCTGCCTTCACATTACCGATAGGATATAGTCGTAAAATTTCACAACCTAAATTTGAGGCTTCTTCTTTGGAGTATATAATTGAATTTGATCTATTTGTGCTGATATGTGAGTTGGTGGAACCAAAGTAACACATACTGATGATGTATCTTGGAGGACTAAAGCTATATATTAGTAGTGTTATGTAGTTGCAGCCGTATTTGTCCCTATTTGATATACAGGCCATAAATTTGAAGGTGGAGAAACAATAATGTCACTAGGTGACCGCCACACCTTCTAGGAAAAGCTTAACTCCAGAATCAGGCATCAGGAGGACACCTATTAAAGCAACCAAGTTGATGTTATCTGAGAAAAAAATTAGTTCAGAGTGGAGAAAAGGTGAAGACCACCAACATTGCCAAATTCATTATAGCTAGGAAGTGCTTCAAGTGCTGCGCTTTTGGGCATATTGCATCTGATTGTTCAAACAGGAGATTAATTTTTTTTTCAATGAGCCTGTAGCAATTGAAGAAATGGACATTGACACATGAGAGAATGAAGAAGTCAAAGAGGATTGAGTATCAAATTCCAGTCGACAAGGGAGATATGATTGTGATTTGACGGGTTCTTCAAGCTGAGCCCATGAGAGAGCATTAGTGGCTCCACTACAACATCTTTCTCACAGGCTGTACCGTGAAGGAAAATGTGTGCGATCTCATTTTCGATGGAGACAATTGTGAAAATGTGATATCTAAATAAATGGTGGACAAGTTGATCTTCAATACACCGAAGTATTCTCAGTCATCTTACCTGTGTCGTTGAAGAAGAGGAATAAGATTAGTGCTGAAAAGTGGCCTCTTGGATTTGAGGTCTCTCGTTTGGTGGAGAGCCCGCAGAAACAAAATTACAACTTTTTCTAAATGAAGCTACAGTAGGGCATCCAATAGACCAAGTAAAAGGGTTTGCAAGCAAGAAATCCATGTACCAATTTAGTGTCTGAAGTTTGTTTCTTGATGTAGCTTCTAAGAACTTAAAATTTGAGAATGATTCTTTGGCTCAAAAAATTTGACTAACTTGGGATTTGAAGGAGTTTAGAAACACCAAATAGTTTTAAATAAATACCAACAAAGATTAGCAAATGACCAAAACCTGAATTCGAATTTGAGAGGACTTTTAAGGCATATTTTATGACAGGATTAATGTCCAAAACTTTAGCAGATATTGATGTCTGTATTCCAAAAAAGCTATTTTCATTTGTAGTAGATCTTCGAGAAATTGTGACTATGGAGATAAAAACTTTAATATCAAATTTCTAGGATTTGCTTAAACAATTTATGCTTCAATGTATTGTTGTTTAGCTTATTTTACGTCAAAGTTTGCTCCCACATGTATAACTTCCCTTACAGAACCTTTCTTTTGATATTTTTTTATATTTGATTGTCTGGAGCTTTAAATACCAGACTTCTATTGAAAAAAGCTTGTGGTTTGAACGAGTGATGCACTGAAATTTCTGTTTAATATGTTTCAAATCTTTGATTTATGTAAACTTTTGTATTTAAATTTATTTGTTAAATTATATGACCGGATAATGTTCCCATCTCACTGCGACGAAAGTTTTTTCAGTTCTTTGGAACGAGCAATGTGAAATATGCAAGATTATGTTTTGGCCTAATTGGAGGGCTTTGTTCTAGTGAACAAGTCTCTTGTTCCATCTTAAACTTGTAATATGCATCATGACTTAACAATCTTGTCCACTCGAGTCCTCATATTTAGGTCTTATAAATTTGTAGTACATTCGGGACCAACTTGAAGAATTGGAAGCTTCCATAAAGCAGTCTTGGGTGGCTATTCAAACTGGTAAGTTTCTTTACTTGAGCAGGTCAGTTTCGTCTGCTTTTTAGCATTTATTCACATATTGTAAATCTCAGATTTGGTGGCAAATCATCTTTCAAGAGATTATCTAATTCAGCTGTCTTGATTTACATCAATAATATATTTTAAAACTAACTTAGTTGTTTATTTTGAGCAACAATTATCTAATGGAGTTTTCTGAAAGAACCCTTTCTTATATCTATAAAATGGATGTAGCTCTCTCATTTTAACATGAGCTGCAATTTGGCAGAATTTTTTTAACCCATCACTTCAATTTTTTTTTGGACATTGCACTTCTTGTATCATATATCTGATTTGAATGATAAAAAATATCATTTTCTCAATGGAACTACAGGCATCATCAACATCATGTTTATGCCCTTGTGGGCATCTATTGCGATGAGCATTTAATGGGGAAGGAGGTGATGCCACCTCAAATATCAAAAGATGTTCTGATGTAGGATGCACCCATGTTAGGCTGCAAGCCTAGAGGCTTATCATTTCTGTAAAAATACGCTAGGATTTAAAACTAAGCTGTGAACATGCTGAAAATATGAGAAACTTTATTACATTGTCAACTAGAAAAATGATACGGAGTTCTTAATCATGTCCTGTATCTATTTGTTCTATTCAAAACATTACTTAGCGTCACCACTGGCTTGAATAATGTCAAATCTAGTTGAGAACATTTGTTCTATTCATATGTTCTAGAATAATATCAGATCTATTTATTTGATCTGTTCATGTATTTATTTTACAGTATATGATATTTCATCAAAATATTGCAAAGAGATGGGAAGGTGGATTCTAAACTATCAAACGAAGTATCTATGATAATTAATTTCTCAAACAATATATTAGAAGGATTACTGGCAAACATGGGGTTGGATTGTGATATTCTTTTACTTTCAATGCGGCATGAGTGGCTTGAATCTAAAAAAAAAAAAACATTTTCTACAATATTATGCCATATTTTATTGTTGGGCAATTTCTTGCATACAACCCTAATATTAGCTATGTATAAATCAATACCTTACCTCTATTTGTCAAATTCCAACCCAATTATTGTCATTCACAATAATACTCTTAGCTTTTATTTTTTGGAAAAATTACACACATGCCGCATAATTCTTATGTCTTTACTTATTTAACACCTAAAATTTGATATTTACATTTATAACACTTTGGTTTTATAAAATTACGCATGACGAGGCGTATTTCATTTTTTAAAAATTAAAAAGAGTGGTATGATTAAAATTTAGTTATTATGCATGTAAACATTTAGCTTTAGGTTTAGATATGTAAATATATAAGAATTGTGTGGTATGTAAGTAAATTACCCTTATTTATTTATCTTCTGTCCAATTTTCAGTGTTTTGGTTGCAATGCATGTAAATGTAAGGATTTAACAGTTTATAAATATTCATGATTTTAGTTTTATAGCGATGATGCTTCCTTTATAGTTCAGTTCTTTATATGATTTTTTTTTTTTTTTTTTTTTTTTTGTCTCTGACAGCGAATCATCAAATTTATGGATACAAGGAGGAATTCACGTACTCTAAAGAATCAGTTGATGAACTGTTTACTGTATTTGATGACATCAGAACTAGTGCCATTGGTGCAAGTGATGTGATCCTTGACTTTATAGGTGAGTAGACTTTTTCTGTGTGTTTGTCATCGGGCACCGGCATTGTCTACTTCTTGGATAAAGTTGAATCTTATTAGGGTAAATATGTGGTGCCTTGGTTTTCTTCATAAATTGGTAATTAATAATTATATTGTATTTGATAATAACTTGCCTTTCTATCACACTAGTTTTTTTTATTACATTTCAATTCATCAAATTTGTTTTCTTCAAGTTTTCGTAAGTACTATTTGATTTGATACCAGAACTAGTTCAGAATTCAGCAGAAATGAAAGCAATTTTTTATTAAGCAAGGAATTAGGGGTTACAACATGACACAAACTTGAAAAGGAAAATATAACAACACTAATCTCTGGCTAGGGCCGGAAGAGAAGACCCAAGGGCGGTGATAGCGTCGGCAAAGTGTTAAGGAGGTGGGGAAGGCCTAGTGGCTGTATGGTGGGTTAGGAAGGGGCTTGGTAGGCTGTTAGTGGGCTGGATAGCACTGATTGTTGCAAGGGAAGGGATGGCAGGGTGCGGGGAGATGGCCGAGGCACTGCATAGCAATGGCTGCTGCTGGCAAGGGAGGACAGGTGGCTGGTAGGTGAATTGGAGGCTGGACCGCAGGCTCACAGCAGTTGAAGGGGACAGCAGAGCAGCTGGAAGGAGATGGAGTGGCCGGCTGTTAAGGGAGGTGAAGGGAAGGGTTAGGGAAGGAGAAGAGAGAGGAAACAACACCATGTCAAAGGAGAAGAGAGAGGAAACAACACCATTTCATCTCAATGCAGGATACAGCCGAAGCACCACCCATCATCAGATACAACCCTAACAAGGGAGAATCTAAAACAGTAACACAACAAAAACTAACACTAATTCTAACAAACATACATATAAATAGATTCGGCGGGGAGGCGGTTGGTGGCAATTTCCGGCTCTAAGAAAGGCAAGGGAGGCAGTTGGTGGCAATTTCCGGCTCTAAGAAAGGCAAGGAAGGCAGGAATGGGGAAAAGAGAGGAGGGCGGGGTGAGAGCGGCACATACCGATCCTAAGAATGTTGATCGATCCAGCCTCCAGGTCAGTTCAGCTGGCCTCTTATCATCTCTCGTACCTGCCTCGAGAAACGCCTCGCGACACCTCCCATCCTCTCTATCACTATTAGAAAGGAAGTTGATTTTTAGAAGAGACAAGCTAGTAATATATATAGCAATGTACCCACGATAAGCAAAGAAATATTCCCAAAATAACAGGTTAATAACAACCTTGTAAATTGCTGCAATTGACCTGCTAAACAAGTAGAGAATCGGGGTACATTATACCTATTTTAGATAATTACAGTGATGGAAATACAATGATAGCAAAATATAGATACAACAATTAAGGAATAAGCAGGCACACACCCCATTGTGATTCAAAGACAACTAAAAACACTTGTTTTTCTCTCTTTTTCTTGACATTACCTGACACCACATTGCAGCGATGCGCATGAGCTCCCTCATTTAGCCCATTATTTTTTTTGTAATTTTTTTAATCCAAATGCCATTCATTTTATTTCTCTGTTGTTTATTTGTTGTCTATTTAATGCTTAATTTTGCTTGCTTTATTATAGTTTATACCTAGCAATGTGGTGTTAATACGTCATTGCTTTTAATTTTTCATTATTGTTGTTTTTGTTCAATTTGCAAAACTATCATATATTTTAGCCACATTGCTACATTCGATTATTTGCATTTTTGATTGATTTTTACAACCCTGATAGTTTTGTTTACAGATTTAATTATTTTCATTTCCTTGATTTTTTTTTTATTCTTATTGTCTTTTGTCAGGCTTCATGTAAGCTAAAGTAAAATTATATATATATATATATATATAAGAGAGAGAGAGAGAGAGAGAGAGAGAGATCATTTAAAATTGCCTTTTTTATTAGAATTTCTTTGTTTGATGAGTTATGACTAAATTATTCAGTTTTTTTTATCGTTTTGCACTATTTTGAAAATAGTGAATGCTATGCAATGCATTTTGTGCCACTTAATGGGGCTTTTGAACCATGTTGTACTATCTGCTTTTGACAATTATGGATTATGCAAAGGGATTTACATTTCATAGATCGGAGATCACTAACAATATAAAATTTTTCTTTCAAGGTTTAAACTAGAATGCATTAAAAATTGAACTGAAATGGTAGTGCAATTAACTAAAAAAATCCAAAGAATTTAGTGTGTTAATCAAACCATGTAAAATCAGCTAGCAATTGAAAATTTTCATTGAATTTAAAATTTTTTCTGTTTGAAATTTTTAAAAAATAAGGAATTTTAGTAGCATGCCAATAATAATTTTTGTAAGAGGAGTTAAATAAAGAATCGAATTTATAAAAGTAAAAAAAAAAAATATTCAAGTCTCTCATCATTTTTGTGTGTTGAATTTCCCATAATTTGTTACCCACTCCCATACCACATTCGGAGGAATTACACATCCAATATCCACATTGAAAAATAAACATAAACTTTATTGAGTCGAAAACTAAATATTACATAACTAATATTTTTATTGACCCAATGGGGAGTTAATTTAAGATACCAAATCCAGTTCTCAACACAATATCCAAAATATCGCTACTGGCAAAGATGTAACAAAGAAATTGCATGTAGCTGCTTGAAGCATTGTAGAAGGCATATGCAGTCGCAGAAGAGCCATAGGAATATGCTAATCAGTGGTTACAGTTCCATGAGGGCTAAGGTCCCATTTTACACTAAAGTCCTACCAAAGGAGGAGCAAGAATTGGTGGATGCTAAATCCAGCTAAAAAAGGCTGCATGAATAGTTGCTGAATTTTTGCAAGTGCTGCTGTCCCTCAAATATGCTACAATCCCATATAGGATCTGCAAGAATAGACGCAGCTCTATGGGAGGCAGGCAGTCCTACCATAATCCCATCATTGACAGAAGTGTGACCATTGTAATTCATGAGGATAAGGATTGTAAACATATTGAGATGGCTGGGGATTTGAAATGCAGTATGGAGAGGCATTTCCAATTGTGCTCCAAATCGAATTTGATGATAAGCTGTTCAGGAAATAGCAACAATTTTTTGTAGGAGTCATTGGTGATATGGATTTATAAAAGTTTGTATTATGGGTGGCATTTTAACATAAATGTTGTTGTTCTGTTGAAAGCTCTTTTTTTTGGGTAACGCATATCTACTTAGTTTTTACGTATGCTTTAGTATTATATCTATATGCAGTGCACATATATCTATGTTTAACCATATATGAAGGGATCACTATGATAGCTTTGAACAATTGCAATTCCTACTCTAACTGAACGATAATGGGATCACCTTAATACCTTCTGAGCTGTTAAAATCATAATTCATGATTCGTCAATCAGACTAGGTTATCTGCAGTGTCATGAGGCTGTAATTGGCGCTTTTGAGTTTGTTTTTTTTTTTTAAGTTAACCTGTAATATTCAGCTTCAACCACTTATTCACTGTAGATAACACGCATGGTTTGTTGGATTGGGATGGGAATGTCGATCTTCCATTGAATTTGCCTTTTTTTTCAGCTTTCTAGATCCAGAGAATGCTTATAAGTTATAAAGGATGGGGAGGGAGGTTTAGTAAGGTGGTGGAGTGGAGGATATTGATGGAGCTTTTAAAATGACTCACAAATTACTATTTACAAGTGTAAAATACTAATTGGTGATGCTATTATATTTGATGCTCATATGACCTGTCATTGTATATACTGCACTCGAGCTATGACGCATTATTTAGGTAAAATTATTTTGGGACCATGGGTTCAGAGGAATATCCTTGTCAGCACACAACTTGATGCCTCACAAGAAATAAAATAAGAAAAATAAAAATATTTTAACGCTTACAAAGATAGACAGGCTCCTCTAAAAGTGCAAGCTCCTAATTCTTCTGTGAAGGAGCTTGTCCAATCTAGAATAATGAACTAGCTCTTGTGTAAGGCATTAGGCCCCTTGCGATGTGGTGGAAGCTGTTGTTATCTTTCACAAGTTCTTATCTTGAACTAAAATATTTGAACGAGAAGAGTTAGAGCAGGACAATCTAGATTAGTAAGGTTCCTGCCATGCCTGAGCTACCAGGCAATGCAGAACCTTTTTTTTGTTACATTTGCTTTTCAAATCAAAAAGTAATTTGCTATGTTTTTGAAAAATTGTGAAAAAGCGTTGACAATGAGTTTAAACAAGAGGCTCAATTTAAACATTTTTATGTTCTATGCAAATCCCATTTGAAGTAGTTTGTGAAGAAAACGAAGGAGAAAATTATCTTCAGAAACTTATTACAAATCATAAACCATGAGGTTACATATATCGGACAAGTATTCCCTTCTAATTTACAACCTTATCAAATATATCTACCCTAAATATAAAAAGGAAATAATTTTAGAAATATTCATAAATAAAAGCAACATGAAGGGAATAAACTTATCAAGGAGTTTCTTAAATTGTCTACAATCAGAATTTCCTATGTTTTTTATGAATTCCACACCCCTCATCAAGCTGGGTCGTTTATGTTGTATAGACCCAACTTGATATTCAACTCAGTGAAGCTGCCTAGAGGTAAAGCTTTATTGAAGACGTCAACGACTTCAAGATGAGTTGGAATGTAGATCAAGTGAAAATTGTCACTCTGGACATTTTTAAAATGTCTATCAATCTCAATGTTAGCCCTATCATGATGCACATGATCTTTACAATATTGATGGCGGCTTCGCAGTCACAGAACATTTTTTGGGATTGACCGTGGAGTATGCCAACTTATTCAACAACCTTTGGATCCACATTCTTTTGCAAATTCCCATCTCAAGTGTTTTGTACTTAGATTTTGCACTACTTCTAGAGATCGTTGTTTGCTTCTTACTCTTCTATGTGATAAGATTTCTCCATACATAGGGACACTATCCAGTTGTGGATTTTCTGTCTTTGAGCTCTCCTACCCAACTAGCATCAGTGTACACCTCTTTGTTTATGTTGTCTGATTTCTTAAATAAGGTTCATTTG